AAAGATTCGAATAGGTATCATTCAAATAATTTAGAAATAAACGAACTGGATAAAAAGTCATCCAAAAGTGAGTTAATAATAACGATACGAAAAGTGATCTGTTATGTAATGATAATTGTTATCACTAATTAATAAGTTAACGATTTAAAAAAATAGGACACGATTCGCATTATTTTTTTTTGTTTTTTTGTTTTAACCGTTACAGATTTCGTATGTCAATTTTTACTTTCCTTTTCAATATTGTCAAATTCTTCGAAAATTTTAAGTGGGTCGACATCATCGGAAGATTCATTAAATTCCGTACACGGCCTTAGATTTTTAAGTTTTTCTTGGGTCGTACTGGTTCACACATATCTTCAAATATTCGCCATAGGAGGTAAACAAAAAAAAGGCGTGTAGGCAAATTACAATACTTGCAAGTATTGTAAAAAGTATAACAAAAATTTTTAAGGGGCACTTTATTCATCATTTTTTTTTAATGATTGATTTTTCCGATTTGTTAAGGTTTTGAATTTTCTTTTTTCTTTTTTTTTTCTAGAAAATAAAGGACTCAGAGCCGTGACGGAGAAAAATTTTGCTTATCAATTAGTCGGAAATGCAACTTATTCCGTGGATTCGTTTCTCGTGATAAGCGGTTTACTCGTATCATATTTATTTTTTAAAAATAAAACGTCGAAAATAGAAATCGAAAGTTTTTTAAAAAGTTTTGGAAAATTTTTTACATTAGTCCTGTATAGATTTGTCAGGTAGGTGAATTGTCTCGTTCGAGTATTTTTTCTTTTCCAAACGATTATTAAAAAACAATTTTTTTTTTTTTTTTGGTTTACAGGCTGACTCCTGTATACATAACAGTACTCGGTATCGTACACATAACAATGTCTTTTCTAAGGGATCAAACTGTTTTTGAAACTCCTTTAATATTACAATTAAATTGTGATACTTATTGGTGGAGAAATATACTTTACGTAAATAATTTTTACCCCAGAAGAGAAATGGTAAGAGAAAGAGAGAGTAAATCATTTAAAAGAATTAATTAAATTAACGTAGTTACGCAATATATATAAAAAAAAAAATTTTTTTTAACTTTAATTTGTTTACATAATTTAAATTACATTACAAAACCCCTTGAGAATTTTTTATTTTATTATTATTATTATTTTTTAAATGTGTCACGTGTCGACAAAGGGAATCCCCGCACGTTATTCGTCTTTTTAAATTTTGAATTATAATAAAAAAAATTTTATTTTAGTGCATGTTATGGAGTTGGTACATGGCAACCGATACTCAATTTTTCGTACTCAGCGTCATTCTTCTCCTTTTGGCTAAAAGGTAATAATAATAATAATAATAATAATAATAATTGAATGGAAAATTATTCTTCCGGAAAATTTCATGAAATAATGAGATGATAATGTAATTGTAAAAACGTGCGTGTTTACACGATCGCAAAAATAAAATTTTTTTTTCTGTAAAATTTTTCAGGTATTTTAAAATTTCCGTCGTTGTTCTCTTTACCCTTTTGGTAAGTTCTTGGTGTACAACTGCTTACATTGCTTACACTTATCAGTACCAAGTCAAAGTTCAAGAACCTTTTGCACTTTTTGATGAACTTTACGATAAACCTTGGACACGTATAGGTCCATACATAATTGGTATGTGTGCCGGTTGGCTCCTTGCAGAAAAAAAATGTCAAATAAAAATGCCATGGGTGAGTTTTGTTTTTTTTTTATAAAACAAACAACAAACAAACAAACAGAAAGAAAAATTAAATTTTTTTTATTTTAATTAGATTGTTGTCATATTGGGATGGATTTTATCGATCGGTGGTTTGTTCGGTTTAGTTTTTTGTATAAGAAACGGTTTAGGGGTTGCAGAATCATCGATTTATGCTGCCCTGGGACACACGGTTTGGGGTTTAACCCTTGTTTGGATTGTGATAGCATGTCGGTGCGGTTACGGAGGTAAGAAGCAAAACATTCTGGTACCTAATCACAAGCGGATATAAATGGTTTTATATCATTATTATTAATTTTAGGATGGATAAATACGTTCCTATCATGGCCGGCATTTCATCCTTTTAGCAGACTGACTTATTGTGCTTATTTAGCACATCCAATAATTATGTTTTTGACTAATTATGTAATGGATGGTCCTTTTCACATGCATAACGGCGTCGTTGTAAGTCATTTTTTTTTTTTTTTTAATTAAAGCAATCAAAAAAACATTAAGCCGAAACAAAACTATGTTATTCTTTTGTCACTTTAAACATTTTTTTTTTTTTGTTTCAGATGATTGTGTTTTTAGGAAATTTAATTTCATCTTATATCTTATCATTTGCCTTATCACTCGCATTCGAAGCACCATTTATGAGATTATTAAAATTAATTCTTTCACCTAATCAAGAAAAAAGGTGACAACATTTCCAATCAATCGTATTTCGATAATAAATTCGCGTTATGTATCAATTAGTGTCGCCGACATTTTTCTTATTTATCCTAATTTATTACAAATAATTACATTAATTATTATTATGTATAACAGAGAGAGAAGAAAAATAAGCATTCAATTATAGGTACTTATAAGATTCATAAAAGCGCGACACTACTTTTTTCCTTCAAATTATTATTATTATTATTATAAAAATGATGATAATTTTTTTCTTTCGTTAAGGTCGTTTTAAAATTTATAATATAAAACGTATTTATATGATTTTTTTTTTTATAAACTTTTGTGTTAGTTTTGCAAAAAAGTAAATAAATAAATGAAAATTGCCTATACGATTTTTAATGATTCGGTCAATTTATTATTATTATTATTATTATTAATATTATTATTATGTTTCACGGCATCATTTCGAATTAGTTAACGATTTTTATGACCTTGTTTAAACAAATAATATTTAAGATAATTTCTTTAAAATAAATAATTTAAAAACAATTTAATAATAATAATAAATGTAATTTTAAAATACCCTAAATCCTATTGTTTTTATTTAGATATTCAAAACAATAATAATAATAATAATAATAATGATAAAAAGAATTTTTTCGTCGAAATTATTAAATTATAAAAATTTATGTACAGTTAATATATGTACATAATTTTTTTTTTTTTTATTAAACTAAAATTTTTATTTAAATTGTTTGTAATAAATAAATAATTTATAAGAGATTATTTATTATTATTATTTTAGTCAATGGATTATTTAATTATGTATGTTATTTAGTTCCGTTTTGTCACAATGAGTTAATTAACAAAAAGAAAAAGTTTTTTTTTTTATTTATAAATAATTATTTTAAAAAATAAGTAAAAATAAAAACGGTCGTAATACCTAAATAAATATAAGTAGAAACAAAACAAAACAATAATAGAAAGAGAAAGAGAGAGAGAGAGAGAGAGAGAGAGAGATATTTATAAAACGGATATTATAAACAGGAAGTTAGTGAGTTTAAATTTAAAGAGTAAATAAATAATAATATTACAATGTCAAATGAATTCACGGAATTTGAATTTTTTTACAAAATATTAAACTTGAAAGTTTATTTAAAAAAATAAATAAATAAATAATAATAATAATAATAATAATAATAATAATTTTTCCCAGGTGCGACGCGTGTAAAAAACATTAGAAAATGAATTTTTTTTTTTTTTAACGAACCCTTTTATCGCGTCGACGATTTCAACTTCCGATTATATTTTTTCGGTTAGATTTCTCGTTATATATAAAACGTGTAAATGATTATATATATACATAAAAAAATTGAATAAATAATTTGCTAATAATTTATTATAAAATATTCAATAAATGATTAAGTAAGAGATAGTTACAATGTCAAAATGATTGTCGTTGTTGTTGTCACTGGATTTTTTATATTAATAATGATAATAAAATCATAAACTGGAATGAGTAAACTGGATCGTAATTGAAAATTATGATAAAAATTTAATCGATTCGTTTTAATGTCAAATTGATGATATATCTCGGTCGTGTCAGAAGAAAAAAATAGCGTTTGTATATATAATCGAGAGAGTGTAGAAGAAGAAGTAGGTGAAGCAATTAATTTTTGAACGTAAATGATGTGAAAGAATAATAATAATAATAATAATAAAGAAAAGTAGGACGTTTAATATTATACAAGTATTATTATTATTCATTAGTCATTGGTTTATTATATAATAACTCTCTCACCACCGACCGAATCTCATCGGTTTTTCATCCTTCATCTCATCACAATAAAGGAATGCAATTTTTTTTTCCTTTCCCAACCCCCCACCCCCACACCCTCCACCAAAAAAAAATAGGTTAATAATCGTTTTGTTATTTAATTAAAAAATTATTAATCTTATTCGTTAGAATTCTTAATTTTTAAATTAAAATTAAAAAATGAACGTGATTTAATACACGTACGTCAAATTTTTTTTCTAAGAAAATACCCTGAATTGAAATAATAATAATAATAACGCAAGATCGTCATTAAAAAAAAAACATGGCCGTGTCGTGTGGGGAGTAAAAGGAAAATTTTGTAAATTTCAAAATAATAATTAAAACTTACAAAAAAAAAAAAATTTTGTGATAGCAGTTATTGATAAAAGGGATGATAAAAATTATTCGCGTTTTATTTATCAGGTCCTTCGTACGATTTGATTAAAATAATTTTGGTGGGGTTTTTTAAAAAAATGGCGACGATAAGAGGAAAACAACCCTCAGGTGTTTGGTAAAATGTTGTTAGATAAGAACACGAATAGTGGTTATAACGTTTATCCTATCGCTGACAGCATTGCGACAAAATTGATTTTCACTTGATAAAATTTAAAAGATTGGAAAATTTTTCTTTGCGAAAGAAAACAAACAGGAAGTTATCTCATTTTTGAAAGAAATAGGGAGGAATGTAAAATATGCGGATTCAAAGTATTGCGAAAACAAAATGACGGATTTAAGGTCTGCGTAATAATCATTGGAAAGTATTTGACGAATTGATAAAAATTTTAAAAATTTCTGTCTTATTTTATTTATTTGAATGAACGAGAATTGAAATCAAAAACTACAACCGGAAATGCATCATAATAATAATTTTTTTTGTTTAAGAAAATTTAATGTCTCTTTAATTTCCAAAAAAAACAATTGTTTTCAAAACCTAAATATTGAAATCATTTTGAAAAAAGAAGTAATTTTAAAGAAAAAAAATTCATTTTGTAACAATTCGTGTAATTAAGAACAAACAACAAACAAAACCTTAATTAAACGACCCCCAAAAAAAAACAAAACCGGCAAAGTAAAAATTTGAAATAATAAATTACGGGTTTCAAAAAAATAAAATAACCGATCGACAAACAAATAAAATACTCGTAAATATTATATTTAAAGGTAAGATGTACAAACGACAAAACAAACGATGTACAAACAAACAAACAAACGATGTGCAATTAAAATATATATTTTTTTTCTTTTTATTTGAAATTATAAAAAAAAAATGTGCAATTCTTACTTAACCCCATACGAAAAAAAACAAAAGAAATATAAATTACGAAATTTTTTTTGTTAAGTAGCCATCTTAATACGAATTATTCTAGAAAATTCTAGAAAGAATCGATGGAAAGAAAGAAAGAAACGATTTTATTAAGAAACAAAATTTTCATGTTGAAGACAGACCATTTTAAAATAAAAAAAAAACTAGGAGGAACGCCCACTTAATTATTCAAACTCAAAGTTATAATTTAAATTTTAAAATAATAATAATAATAATAAGATCATTTTAATAAAAAATAAAAGTATTACTATTATTATTATTAAACAAACAACAACAACAAACGGATATATTATTCGGTTGTTACGTAACGAAAGACATTGATTTGGGTATATGCATAAACTGAGGGGAAACTTTATATCGTTAAATCAATATGGCGGATGACAACCAAAGTAATAACCGTCTTTTAAATGTCATTTTTGTTTTTTTTTCGAAAAGTTTCTAGAAATTTTTAAATAAAAAAAAATGTATTCTCCAGCGTGATTGTCTCGAAAATAATAAAAATAAAAGTAAAAAAGAAAGAAAGAAAGAGAAGAAAGAATTGGAATTCAAGTTTCAGGTACGAATCTTAAGGGAAAGACGTTAAAAAAAAAAAAAAATATTTCTTACCTTGAGGCCTTGTACGTGATTCTAATGATGATGATGATGATGATGATAATGATGACAAATTTGTTACTTTTTAATGATGGAACAATCATATTACCTAGAAAGAAAAAAAAAAAATTAGAATTTACGATATTTTAAAAAATTATGATGGTAAACAAAAACAACAATTTAAGTAATAATAATATTGCATTCGAATTGATAAAAATTACACAATTCTAATGACACTTCAAAAGTTTCATTCTTTTTTTTCTAACTCCACTATTGTTATTAATTTACGAAATATTTAGTAATAAAAATAAAATTTACATCGCGATGATGACTTTGCTAAAAAATGATTTTCGAAAAGGAAAGCATAACCGTTTTCATTTTTTTTTTCCTTTGTGTAAAAGGCCACGCCAACAAAAAAAAAACTTAGTATTATGAATCATTATAGTTGTTATACTCTTGACATTTTTCATTATTATTATCATTATTATTATTATTATTGTCAAAAAAAAAATAATAAGATTGGTGTAATATTTGTTATTTTCATACAATTTTTATTTAAAAAAAAAAAAAAAAAAAAACGATGATTTTGAAAGGTGGTAATCTTTTTTGTTTCAATACAAAAAGATAAATAATAATAATGATGATGATAATAATAATGACAAATTTCGGTTTTTTTTTTTATTGAAAAGTAAAAAAATTTGTGGAAAAGCCCCCCCTTTCCCTCCTCCCACTCACACGTGAATAAAGAAGGTCGTTTTAAACGTGAAGATGAAAGTGAAATTGAAATTTATCGTCGGTTTTATTATTATCATTATTATTATTATTATTATCATTATTATTACTTTTTACGGCAATAAATGTTCCGCATCCACGTCTCGAAAATTTCAAGGTTGATAAATGCCTCAAAAAAAAAAAAAAAAATGGAAAGTAATTTATTTTTTTTTCATCGAGATGTTAGTAAAAAAAAAAAAAAAAATGTTTCCAGCGTAACTCTCTGGAATTTTTTTTTTTTTTTGTTTTCATGTTTTCCAGGTACTTTTCGTTTCGTTTAATTTCTTCTCCAAAAAAAATTTTATTCGATCGATAATCAAATTGAAGGAGAACGTTTTTATAAAAAAAATTTTCTCGAATAAAAAAAATTAATTCGAGAGTTCTCATCGTTACGTATTTTATTTACGCGTTTTTTTCCATGTAAACCCCCCCCCACGTCCCCCCTCTCTCCATTCATAAAAATTTAAGATGTTCAAAGGTCGTAACAGATCAAAACGTAATTATTTGAAATTTTTTGTTCCTTG